TTAATCATCTTTTACATAAAATATAAGATGTATAATAATTCTTAGTTAATCTAATTTAAACTTGTATATAATATAATATACCTTTCTCCCTTCTAAAATATTAAAATTCTTTTAATATTAATTCTTATTATTCAATTCATTATAAGTACTTGATAATTAAAAAGAAAAATTCGAAAGCGTAAATAAAAATGTTTGATAAATTTATCCCAGGAAATTGTCAGTGGACAGATTCAGTATCGATTGCGCTAAATACCTATCCGACGATGTGGAAATGAGATCAAGGGCGAGCAGCGGTGACAATCTGAGAAGACAACGGCAACCGAAACTGCATCATTCCAGATCGGATGACAATAAGAGGGCGTCGTTCGAAAGACACCAGAAAGACGCTCAATCGAGCCGATACTCTTTGAACACGCAAGCGGTCATCGAGAGTGGGGGATCAGAGGCCGAATTCAAGTATTTCACGGCAACGTCACTTGACACGGAAGAAAGTCGCGCTGACAATTCAGACGACAGCCACGCGATCGATATAGACGAACAGATAGCAGCGAATGTGCCGTCCGACGGGCCGACAGAAGCTGATGCCTTACTCGAGGAACCTGAATTAGAGAACGTGCCCGAAACCGACGTTGAGAGCTCGAGGTACGAGATGGATGAATCCGAAACGTACGATGAAGCTGCTTTAAGAACGAAAAATTTGATATCTAACGATCAGATATCGAAGAGACAGGGGAAAAATAATATTCGTAACATGGATGAAAGATTGGATGATTTTGTGAAAAGCAAAGAAACCATATTGTACATAAAAGAGCACGAAATTTAGAAAGAAGATTATCAGATCATCATCTGATCGAATATGGGATGTGATTATAATAATAAAACGTGTATTGCGACTCCCTCGTATGATTCGAGGGAAGATTTTTGAAAAATGTTTGAATTTTCCACGTTAGGTACACGTTTAATAGGATATTGAAAAATTGATAAATTTATTGTATCGAAATTGATACAGCCGCTTGTTGTTTGATAACGTATATTTGTTAAAAAAAAAAAAATTAAATATTTATAATATTCGACGTATAAAATTCAATGAACATTGCGCAAATTGTATAAAATAATGATCACGTTTAGAAAGGATAGATAGTTTGTTATGTGGCAGTTTGTTACGATTGCATTTTTACGTGGAATTTAAACGAAATTTGAAACAAATGTGATGGAACGAGTACGACAATTATTAAAATAAAATTCTTTTCGAGCGAATAAATGTTCTTATTGATAACATTCGCTCTGAAGTTTGTTATATTTTCTTTTTATAATTATTTTTTATTGTATTTCGTTTTGCAATTATTTGAATAATTAAATTTATCTTCTCGATTAATATTAAATATAGTAACGCGATACATGCTCAATGATCTCAAAACATTAGTGTAAATAAAGTTAATATAGCTTATCGCGGATTGTATTTTGTTGCAAGACAATCATTTCGAAAGAAAATTACTTTCCCTCACGAGAAAAAAAAACATGATAAATATAAAAATTTGCCGCACTGATGACAAATAATAAATATATATACCTTCTTATGTGATCCGTTGATCTGTATAAAATTAATAATATTTATAATGAAAATACATAGAAATGATGTTGAAATCACGAAACATATTTCTGCCGAAGATTATTATAGCCTTCTGCATATGTACGAACAATTTCGTCATTGTTTATGATGAAAAAAATAAAGCGAAGAGACGATCGTGAATTGATTCGCGCTGATTCATGCAATTATTCGAACTATTTCAAACTTGGCGATGTATCAAAAATTCTCTCTCGTTAAAAATATTCAATATAAACTACGCAAACGTAGCATAAATTTTTAATAAACTTGAAATATCTAAAAAATAAAATTGAAACAATGCAAATATTACGAACTATTTGCAATGATTCTTGAAATTTTATTAAAAATATATTTTCCAGTTTTTAAAGCTTTCAATATATATCGTATTACCACTTTTTAATCTAAACTTATGCTATTAAATGACTGCTAAAAAGAAAATAACAGGATGTATCAATGTTTCAAACAACATTTTTCTCGAAACAATAAAAGTTATACGATTAAAAATAAAATTTTAAAAACCATGCTAAGAAAAATCAATGTGTATTTACTCATATGAAATGGTTTTTTTAAATCATATCAAACATATATACAATTATTATACAATGTTGAAATATCTCTAATAATACATTTTACGAAAGTTCAGTAATTCAAAAATAGAATTAACTATTAAGAACTTTCTTATTCTATTGTTAAACCATTTCACATAATTGAATAGGCATAAATTGTGGCCTATTTCATTATACGAGATGTCGAAATCGATCTTTCAGATTCGATAAAAAATACTTTTTTTTTAGATAATATAACGAGAACGAAAGAATCAATGGATTTTGTAAGTATTCGAATCGAAAATATAAATATAAATAAAAAAAAAAAAAAGAAATCTAGCAAAAAATGACAATCCATTAACGTCGAGTGATATATATGCGTTGTTTAAAAAAAAATGAAAAGGTTTAGTCAAATGATAATAAAAAAATCTATTTTTATATTTCTCCTACAATATGATGATTGAATTGATGAAATACGATTGAACGTATTAAATCATCGTAAGATGAAAATCACGTTCTTTCTAATTCTAGTTTAATTTATTTTTAGTACGAATAATATACATTTGAAATCAGTAAAGAAGCGATTTTATGCGCAGAGAAATTTCTTCGTTTATTTTCGTTCGACATTTTGCACTAAAAATTGATAATGAAAAGATAAAATATTCAAAAATATTTTCTTGGCAAACGAAATAAAACGAAAAGAGACGAAATGCGTTTATTCAGAAAACAAAAATTATTTGTTATTCGAGTTTGAATGGACCAATGTTTAAGAAAAAAATATACGTATAAAAATGATAATTCAATGATAATACGTGTTTGGAAGATTGCTTCTCTAACTCGATCTAATATTTCACGCCCAATTATTATGTACATATGTATAATATACTTGAGAAATTATTTATTAAATAATAAATAATACATTATGTACATACTTATTTTTGGAAACTAAAATTTAATAATTTTTTACTTCTACATTGTCACGAGATTCAAATATTGTTATCTTTCTTTATGAAACAAATTTTTTAATTATTTTTCAATAAAATTATTAAAATACATTTAACAAAAACAAAATATTTGTGTTTTTTTTCTAAACTTGAGTATGGATAAATATTAATAAATATTATTTTTTAAAATTTGATTTCATGTATCTATATAATATAATCTTAATTATTGAAAATTATATGTATATTAAATATGAGAATGCTACGTTAATTATTTACGCCAATATCGTGTAAATATATACAAAATATTTAATTAATAATTAACAAGAAAAACATAATCAAGCTGTGATGAAATAAATAATAATTACTAATAGTAGTATGGATTACTTGCTATCATAGTTAGTGCTGTGTATTTGAGGCAATATTTACAGATATACAATATACAACATAAATTCAAAAAAAATTATGTACGATAAAATTATAAACGATTTAAAGATACTCATGAAATACACAATCAATGACAATTTCATATATTTATTATTAAATAATTTAAAAACGCGTTTAAAAATCAATTTCTTAAAAATTGAATGATATATGCTAGTATTAAAATATATTTTAATATGCATTTGTTAAAATTAAGAATTATTTTTTTTATTAATTAAAAAATATTTCTGATAAATCTAAAAAAAATCTCGATACCATATGTATATAATATTATCTTCAAATATCTTTATATTAAAATTAAATGAAGGCAATAAATATGCAATATACAAACAATATTTCAAAAGCGTAATTTTTAAAGAAAATCATTATTTTTTTCAAATTTATATTTAAATAATAAAAAGACATATCAAAAAAATCTTTGTTATAATAATTGAATTTGTCAAACATTTTAATATATTTATATAAAATCATTCAAGTGTAATCAAGAGTATCTTTTACAGCACTAACAATGTTCTTTACTTAATATAAATGGTTTTGTTGTAATCAAATTGTATATTTAGCAAATGCGTTGAAATAAATGAATATCGCTGTAAGATTCAATGTAATCTTTGCATGCTGATTGTTGTAAAGTCTCAATAAAACAACTTTCAAATATTATTCGTATATGAATATATTTTTTTCATACAAAAAGTAAAAATAAAAATTTGGGCGCGAAATATTTGTCTCATTGTATACTTTCAGTTGATAAAAAGTACTCACCGATTGCGGCGTCCTCTCTCTATGCTTTCATCTTAGTTCATCTCTGGTAAAAAGAATTCAACTAATCCAGCAATCGTTAATATGATTGATTTTTTCATATTTTTCCAGCCTGTAATATATAAATGAATTAAATTAGTATTAATATATATTAACATTTTTAATCTATATTAACAAAATTTCTAACTTATAATTACATTCTTTAAACAAAAAAAGACCAAAAAAAATAAAATGTGCAAAAATAAAATATAATCAATTATCAATAAAGAATTCAATAAATAAAAATTTAATTAGAATTCAAATTAATTTGAATTTTTATAGTTTTTTAAGCAATTAATTAATACAAAAGAATTCTTAAATTTTTACATAATTAAAAAATTATATAGTTGCATAATTGTTATCCAATTATTAATACAATACTACAATAGATTAATTTTTATAAAACAATATGAAAATATGTCGGTAGAGTAGAGGCTGTATATTTCTACAATAGAATATTGAACACTAGGTGGCGGTTAGTATTCGCATGGGGGTATCGGTACAGGTGAGCGACGGCGGGAACTGAAGAAAGAGCGAGAGAGAACTTATCAAATTAATGGTTGAAAGCAAGATAGAGTTGGTGAGGGGCCACAGAACATCGTCGAAGTAATACCTTCGTTCGTTTGAGCAGTACACTGCTGGACGCCATACTCAGCGCTTGTGATTTTTTTATTGTCTAAAAAAAAATAAAAAAAAATAAAAAAAAATATGCAGAATCTATGAATTTTGGATTCATTGTTATTAAAAGTGATTTTTATTAAAAAAGTGCCAAAAAATTTTGTTTTCAGTAATGATGTTTTGCCATCGGTAACAAAAATTTCTAAAGGATCAAGGAACAGAATGACGTCCGAACGGTTTCACAAGTAAGTTTCCTTTTATACAACAGACTTTGTACATACCTTTCCGAATTTTCATATTTTTATTTCTCTAACAATACGCATTTTTTATATTACAATAAGATATCTATCTAAGACCCAGGAAGTAGAGAAATGTCGAAGAACTAGGTTCTTGTCTCTGGTTAAAGTGAAAAAATGACATGCCTGGTTAACCATGAGAACGAAGTATTGCACTTTGAAATCTTGATCACCGACTGCAATTCAATAGGGGATCAGTTAGAGAAATTCATTGTTTCATAATCAGCATAATATTATGATTCATAAGATTTATTAATTTTATAAATATTTTTCTCTTTTTTAAGAATTATTAAAAAATGATAAAAAAAATAATTTTAATTATTCAATTTTTAAAATTATTGTATTATTTACTAATATAAATTAGTAATATTTTTAAACTACCAATATTATATCAATTGATTTATTACATTATTCATGTAACTTCATCAATGCTAATGAAACTTTTTGTAATAACATTGTCATTTAATTCAAATAATATAAACAATTGTTGAATGAAAGAATTCAAAAGAATTTTAAATGTCTACTTACCTAAAAATGCACAATATTTATGATTCTACACTATCTCATCGATATATGTACATCACGCCGCGCGTGCGGAATTTATGCATGAGAACACCTTTGCTTTTATTTGATTCAGCACGAAGATTTATCACCCAATTCACTTCTACGAATACTAGGTATACATAGCACTTCTGAATATCATCTTTCACTGAAAAAATATTCATTTAATTAAAAGATACAATAATTTATTTCAAATAGAAATATTTATTTAATAAACTAAATCATTATTTTAAAATTAATATAATATATAAATTGTTTTTTATAATTAAATATCTTTAGAATTAATTTCAATTAATAAATTTTTTTTAAACTTAATACTTTTATAATAACAATTATTGTAATTCAAAAAATATAACAATTAAGGGATTCATTTAATATAATGAAGATAAAGTATTCTTTTTTCTTACAATACTTACAGTTTCATTTAAATAAAATAAATACATAACAACAAACAAATATGTCAAAATGCAATAAATAATTTGTAAAATAAAAAATTATAATGTATCTTATTAAAATTTTACATATATAATATTTTCACTAATTCTTTTATTATTATTTCTTATTTATAATTTTCTTCTAATTTTTTATAGGTATGTATATTCTAAATAAATCAGTAATTAAATTTCTAAAAATCTGTAGAGTAAAATATATATATATATATATATATATGTAGATTTTGAATATTGTATGTATGTAAGTATATAAAATCTTGTATAAAACCTCTTAATTAGAGAAAAATTAATTAAAGAAAGAAAATTTGAACGAAAGAGAAAACTATGATATAGTGTATTATATTATTAATCTAGTACAAAATATGCAGTTTAATTCAAAAATAAAAAAAATTTATGAAAAAAATGTAATAACTAATAATTAAACATCAATTTGTAAATATAGATGTTTTAAACAGAAAAATATATCTACTAATAAATTAAATTAATTATTTAAAAAATTAATAATATTTTAATGAAAAATAATTATTTTAATGTTTCAATCATATTGCGTCAAATTAATTTTATGACAATAAATACAGTTTAAAAAAATATATAAACTGTATATAATAATATTTTTGATTCATTTTAATTTTTTTCTTATTCTAAAATAATTCATAAAAAAAAATTAAAAATATCATTTTATTAAATATTTAAAAGATATATATATGTTAAACATTTAACATAATTAAAAAATATACATACATACATACATATATATATATATATATATATATATTTCTATAGAGAAAAAAAAATCTTTTAGTAATATTTTGTATATGATTATTTGAATATAATTGTTTCTTCTATAGAGCTGCACGCGATGGCGCCTTAGACATCTTAAAAGAAACAACAAAAAAGGATTGTAACGCACGGGATGACGGAGGAATGACCCCTACATTATGGGCAGCCTTTGAAGGTCATATAGATGCTCTGAGACTGCTCGTCGCCAGAGGGTATGCTCGCAAAACTATTTACTTGTAAACATATTCTAAAAACATGTGTAGATATAATAGAATTTTCCACAAGTATTCTTTTTACTTATTATAATTAATAATTGTGAAAAAAAGATTTTATTATTGTATAAATTTTATTTATTAATATATATGCTTACATAAACTTACCATATATTTGCAATAACTCATAAATAATAAAATTCTTGATCACAACAATGTAACTTATATAATCCCGCAATGAGGTTATTATTTTTTGGCGCCACTATATAACTTTTCTTATTTGAGCAGTGCTTTCCGCGGTTAAAACATTTACGCATGCGCAGAATCTATAATTTTAATAACAAGCTTATTCACAATATATTCTATAATATATTCTATTTTAAAATAATAAAAATGTAAATTTTTTAAAATTTATTTCTATATTTCAAAAAAAATTATTTAATTAAAATTAAATATTCTGATATTTAATTATAATGAATTTAATCTTACCGTATCATATTGTGAATTTAAGAATTTCTTTAAAATTTCTATTTCGAATTTTATAATATAATACTTAAATAAAAAGATTTTTTAACAAAAATTAGAATTTGATGCGAAAGTTAAAAAGTTTACACATATCTCTAGTTAACCTTGAAAGTCACATGTAAATTAAATACGAGGTCGTTGTGGTTAGTGAACACGAAAATTTTAACAATACTTCGTATGAATGACATTCACGAAACATTGAAAAAGTTACATTAATCAGTGTAACGTTGATTACTTTTAAAATATACCTAAGATTAGAACGTAGTTTCCTTCTTTTTTAATTACGTATACGTATTGTATATACGAGAATGTTCTATTAAAAGTTGACAGATGTGTGAAACCGGAAATATATGGTATAATCTGGCATCTATCGACCCTACAAACGGAAATTACGGCCAAGCGAGCACTGATGAAAAACAATCGAATACGAATGGAACAAAATGCAAGGGAACGGAATGAAATGAAACAGGGGAACGAGGAATTGTTATACTACCCATGTATATGCCTATATACTTAATTGTAACTAATTATTTAAAATCATTTCTCAATTTTAAGGTTTTTTTAACAAAAATATTTACTTACCCATTTTAAAGATAAATTTTCAATAAATTTGGAAAATATAAATACATTCATTTGGAAATAAAAGAAAAATAATTGACCACTAATATGAACACAACCACTTTCTACCGCTTTATTCGAAATACTACTGAAATGAATCGGAAAGTACTACTTTAGTCAAAATTAATATTTATAACTAATTGCAAAAATATAATTTATAAAATAGGAAAAAAATAAATGAACATCACATTTTTAATATTAATTTTCACGATAAAAATAAATATATGTGGAAAATATAAATAATTAAAAGGTATTTAAATCATATGAATTATATATGTACTAAATTTAAATATTTTCAAATACGTTAAAAGAACAAAATTCGAAAATTTAAAATCTAATATAATATAAAATAATCGTGTTTCATATTGTATTTTATTATTGTAATTTACTATTATTTACGTTATTATGCATGGATAGTAAACGGTTTAATGTAGTATATCACATAATAGCATAATATATAACAATAAATATATTTAATAAAATACTAATAAAATTTTATTACTATTTGTTTCAATTTTAAATATAATTCATGTCGAATCATAGAAATTTTATAACGATATATTATTTCATAAAATCAGTAATGATTCGTGAATAAGCGACATAAGAGCTAAAAGATAGCACGTGCCCTATTGTAAATAAGATCATATGTCGTTCGATTGGCTTCAGTGTGGTCGACGAACGATAGAAATTCGATATAAGACCTGCTATCCTTCCGGAACTTCGTTCCGTTTGTGTGATATCGCGTAACAGGATATGATGCTACAAAACTCATTTATTTCATTGTTTTCACAGGACAAATTTGTTATAGTAAAAATATTTATTTTCAAAAATAACAATTACAAAAACACAAAAAATATTGTATATATATATATATATATTAAAATTTAACAATAATAAAATACAAATATTGTTTTTTCAAAAATATACTATAGTAAAATAATAAAATTTTTAAAAATTCTCGAAAGTAATACTAAGTACTATTCATTGTAAAAAGAATCCATCCTGTAATTTATTTTGCGTAAACGTATATATTAAACAGCAGATGTAGAATAATTTATGTTTTAACGATTTTCTTCATAGGGGTGATCCCGACAAAACCGATTATTTTGGTAATACGGCCCTTCACCTGGCGGCAGCAAGGGGTCATGAATTTTGCGTCAAGTTCCTCGTGAAATTCGGTTGTAATATTTGGTCCTTAGACATCGATAGACATTCAGCTAGAGATTTAGCTGCTATAAATGGAAGAGAAATGACTCTTCAATTTTTAGATCTTGCTCAAGCCGATCAAGAATTAAATAATCGCAAAAAAAGTCGTCTACTTCGGGAAAAAGCAGAAAAAGATGCTGAAAAAAGGTATTTATGCAATCATTAAATTTAAAAAATTTATATCAACATTAATATAATTTAACATTAATGCAATTTTAATTTCTATAATTATGGTAATTATGCACAAAATAGGTTAAAAGAATATATGAAAAAACAAAAAATGGCAGAAATTCGAGCTGAAAAGGAACAAAAAAAATTATCAAAAGATCGAACAAAATTGGATTTAACTACGGTTAACGAAATCGGTATTCTACCTCACAAACATACTGTGTTGACCTTCAAAGGTCGAGTAAAACCTTCACCAACCTTCAGCGATATCGTCGGCACTACCACCAAGAAACATGGTAGTGCAGTATGTAAAAAAGCTTTAGCAAAAAAAGCTGTTGATGATTTTAAAGTAGTAGAGGTGACTAAATATTTCAATGTACTTTTTATAGATTTAATTATATATTACATAATTAAGAAATGATTAATGTTATCAATAAACTTTATTAAAGCTTTTCTAAATGTGAAAGTTAATGTTAAATAAAAATTTAATCTATTTTAATTTCATAAAACACATTTAAGAAAAAAAAATATAATAAATTTTCATATTTCTAATTAAATTATATATTTTTAGATTGAAGTAAATGGAAAAAAATCGATACGTAGTCTCACTGGACTTAGAAGAGATTCTGAAATAATGTATGTAGGGACTTATGAAACCCAAACTCAACAAATAGGAAAGAGAGGAAAAATTTCGGATGTTTGGGGTACATTAAGCAAAGCACAAAGCACTCCTGATCTCTTAGGTGATCGATCCTTCGATGATGATATAGAACAAGATAATAGAGAAGATATAAATGATATAAAAGATAATGTCTTATTACAAGAACCAGCGAGTATCTTCAATCGACCTGGTTTTGGATCAGTAGCATTTCGAAGAGCAGTAAGTTTATAATATACTTATATGCATGTAATAAAATTAAATAAAAAAGATTTATTATTTTAAATAAGTTTAATTTTTTTAGAAAGCTTTTAGAAAGCTAAAAAAACAATATTTTGTAAAATATTCTATAATGATACGGGACATTTTAATTAAATCACATTATAAATATATAAAACTTCAATCGCGAACTGATTTTTAATAAATATTTAGACCTTAATAATAAATATTCACAAAATTATAAAATATATCTCAATTTTATTTTTTTGATTATTTTCATAATGAATAGTTATAAATTTATGTTATATATTATTATTCACAATATATTTTAAATAATGCAAAATTAAGAAAAAAAAACAATATTATATTTCAAGAATTTATTATTATTATTACAATATTATTTATTGAAATAATAGTTTATTAACATTATTGAAATGTCTCAAATATAATGATTTAAAATTTATTTAAAGCAGTTTATAGAAGACTGCTGTTTTTTAACTTTAGATAACTACTACTTTCGATAATCTGCCATTCTCGCAAGTGGATGCACATGAACAAAACGGTAACTCTTCCGTGAATGGTTCCGTAAATGGATCTATAAATGGTCATAGAATCAATGGGCACAACGAAGAAATCAGCATAGGAAGTGCAGGTAGTTTAGCTCGTCGGCAAAGCATGTGGGATGATGATTTACTTTCAGGTAAATTTATTCTATAGTCAATTTTTTTTATTTTATCAATACATGGCATTTTTGTTTTAAATTTTTATTTTAAAATTTATATAAAAACAAATTAAATTTATAGAGGAAGAGACTGATGAGGAATGGACACCATTACAAAGATTTTTAGTTGCCAACAATTTATCATCAATTCATCCGGTTTTAGAATCAGAACAAATTGATTTAGAAGCCTTAATGTTATTAACTGAAACTGATATCGCCATGCTTAAACTTCCACTTGGACCTAAAAGAAAATTAATGAATGCTATAGCTAACAGAAAAAGAGCATTAGATGCACCAGAAAATATTATTAAAGATAGCAGATTATGAAATATTGATAGAAGAATATTAATCTTATTTTCGAATATTTTAATTTTGTCTAATAAATTATCTAATTATCTACTAAAATATATATATATATATATATATATATATATATTTTATGAATAATTTTTAATTCAAATATTAAATGTATATATCAATATATAAAAAGTCGACGAATTATATTTGAGTTTATTTAGTCATTGTAAAATTTCATGTGATTATAACATAGAGTCATGTAGAGTCATTTTAACTATACGAATTTATAAATACAATAAGATTATATTACAATTTTTATTAAATCAATTAATTTCTAATTAAATCATAAGATAACATATGTCACTCTGTCAGTTTTTTTTATAATATTAAAATATTATAAAAAAAGTTCATTTATTTCCAGAAGAAATATAGTTTTACATAAGCCATAAAAATATAAATTAATTCAATACATGTTGAAATATCATATAAGTATTATCAATGTAAAATTATCTTATCATACTTTAATTCTTTTCTACTCTATGGTGCCTTAAAATAATTATACATCATTAATCCATAATCACAGATATATAAATATTATCGTTATCATATATAATATTGAAGACTGTATTAATTTTATAATTAGTATCTTGTATAAATTTTCTAATTATGTACTCATTTTTAATTTTTTGTATACAATATTAAAATGTTAAAATTATTACATTGATTTATTTCAATTAATTATATTATAATATTATATTATAAAATTTATTGATAAATATTAAAAAACTAAGTAAGAAAAAATACAAAATCTAAACTTTTTAAAGATTTCACATATTATTTATCTGTGATTATAGATTAAATTAATCAATGTAAATGAAAATGTAAATGCCAATATAATAGAATATATTTTTATAAACTATTTAGATGATAAGAAATAAGAGTAAGATAAAGAAATTAATTTTTTTCTTATTGATTACAATGAATTTTATACAAAGTGTACAAATCGAATGCATAAAAATAAAACATGTAAATATCACAATGAATATTTAAAGCGATTTGTAAAATCTCCTTATACATATTATGAAAAATATATAAATAATTTGTATACAAAAGGTGATTACTGACGATATAACAATATTTTTTTCTTTGTAATTTTATTTGTAAATAATTATCTTACAAACAAGAGACGCAAAAATATACAAGCTTCTTATGTTCGCAAAAAATAACAGCACCATTTCTCGCCTTGCCGTGAGCATACATTTTCGTATCATATCACGGCTTTTTAGTGTTCGTGCAAGTAGAATATGATGATACATTTTTTTGACAAAAAAGTACATCATTGCGATTAATGTGCATCAGAATAAAAAAAATGGCTCGTAGAAAATTTCTTGGTGCCCTGTGTTTGTGACACGTACGCGTCCCTATGCACCTGTATGATTAGCGTACGAACTACTATTACTGTGAAAAAGATATGATACAGAAGTGATTCCTCGCGATTTCACCTATCAAGGCTGAAGATTAATCGATTAATGAATAATAAATATTGATATTTGTTTAACTTATCTGATTATTCTAGACAACTATCAATTTATTAATATAAAAACGGATTAATTTATTTTTACTATTAATCGATTAATTTTAGCGCCCTATAAGCTATTTCTATTTCTATACACAACAGTCGGTTTTGCATAATGGCAACATCATTGGAAACTTCTTTTGGCAGCAAGTACATATGAATTACATATTTCATTAAAGAAAGACGGAAGTCATCGATTGACAAAAAGATTATTAATAACACAAAATCTTAAATTTCATTATGAAAGACATACTATTCATATCTTTTCCTATTTGTTTACAATCTCAAAAAATTTACATACAAAAAATATTATTTTACAACTTTAAGTTATAAATAATACCAAACTTTAATAAAATCATTTATTTCTTTTTCAAGCTGTGCACAATATATTGCATGGACCGTATAAATAAAAAATATATTTTCAGTATAAAATACAACAGATTACTAACAAGATTAACTCTTTCTGAGAAAGGGAAAACTCCCTATATATATACATATATGGGAGAACTTAATTGCTGATCTCAAAATATCTCACGAATACAGTTAGTTTTATGCAAGATAAGACAATATCAATTATATCGACAAAATCTTGCAAGTAATCAAACAAATAACACGTTATCAATCCAATATAAACAAACATAGATTTTTTTATCACGACCAAGAACAGCTCTTGAGTATAAATTGGAAATATTACTTTACTAAAAGAACAAAAATAAAGATGACGGTGCCTGTACAAAATGACTCGATGTTCATCATTAACTATTATTTTCTTATCAATAAAGTATTCCTAAATATGGCATCTTCAGCATGTTACTTTCTTCTATATGTTTTTTTAGAGTTACCTTTGTACGAAGATCCATCAAGAAATCAATCAATAGAATATTGCCGTAAAAAAGAATTTCATTTTGAAACTTTAAAAACAAATGATGCAATTAAATTATTAACGTACAAAGATACTCCTTAATATTGTATTATACATTTCGTTTGAATGGAACTTTTAGAACTTTCAGAAACATGACCCTGCATACCAAACTGGTCAGGAAAGTAGAGTCAAGTGCAGTCCTTGTAGTTTTATTATAATTGCCGATCATATGATAAATATTATTAAAGCTATCGCATAGTTATCGATATTAATGATAATATTAGCAATACCCCTAAGGCTATTGTTTATCGTTATCATTACGAATTTACGCTATATTTAATATTTACAACTGAATAACAATTTTTTCGCTTGTTTCCGGAACGGTGCTCAAACAATGTCGAGAAAAAGGAAACAAACTAAAACGAATTCACTTCTAAATGACTTTGAAGAACAAATAAAAAGAAATTCGAAAATGTATAGGAAAATTGAACTCTTTTCTTAAATAAATTTACCGGCAGTTCGATTGAAACATTTTCGAATTTCCTATAATTAATAGTCTTCAAAATTCAAATAGAAGTAATTACGAGGCACAACGCTAGAAATAATATACATTTACAATGACCTTAAAAATGAAGCGATAAATCACTCCAATATGAGTCTTTGAATATAATGCTTCTTATAAGATATGCACGTATATGTACAAATATACATATACATAACGTATATGTATATGCATATACAGCAAAGAGCTGCCCATGTCTCCCCAACAACGGCTACATCTAAGACGAAAAGCTCGTTTATTGATTAAGTCCATACTAGTGTAAAAGTAGATCCCTTTACATTGCACTGTCTTCATACAGACTTTGCCTGAGACATATTTCCAACACATTGCTCAACCCTTTGCTTATAACATATACGCCAAAAGATAAAAATCAATTTTATATTATGATCATCTTTTCATCACTGACATTATCCAATTGACATCGGATATAAAGAGATTGGAAGGAACTTCGCATAGATTTTTCCTACCGATCCGTTCATTTTATCCGTCGATTTTGTTTGATATAAGCATTGCTTACCCTAACATATTTAAGATTTATAACTACACAAAGTCTATTTAAGAATTTTATCAATTAGTTACACAATTATGAGCACCCGCGACATATATGGAAAGAATGAAACGTGAACATCATTTTTTAAAGTCTTCTTTGAACCTTGCTTTGAAGCTCGATCTCAATCTAATTAAACCTTTGGCGTGGATGTCATGACGCATAAAACATGGCAGCAGCATTTTTAGATTATTTCCAAGGGATCGCACACATAAATATATGAAGTAGATGCAAAATTACAAACAAAAGAATTGTAAAAACAATTAAATATATTATCGAAAAGACAATTTTATGATTATTCTACATATAGAGTATGATTATTCTATCATATAACAGAAAATGTAGATCCCTTGTTCATAAGTAGTAAATAAAAATTACAGAATTACAAAAATCAATTTGTCAACATCTCATTTTTTTTTTTAGTACTTTCACTTATGTCCTTATTTCTTCTATCATTATTTCTTTTTTATTGCCAACGAAAGCCATATGAAATGATTTTTTTTTATTGATAAAAGCGTCCAAATATGAATTATCTACGATCATTTAATAATTATAACAATATTATAATCAGAAGAAGCGATCCTTTGGATTATGAAAAAACATTTTATAATCATCCTCTCCCCGTTCCCTTTTATCTCGCAAAATTACAATCGTAGATAGTAATATATTTATAAAACATTAAATCTCCAATTCATTTCTCACTTTTAGAACATCCCATTTAAAAAAATTACAGTACACTATGAAGTGACTGAAAAAAGTATCACGAAATATTAGCTGCTAATTTTTAACATACACATCAATTGTGTAAAGCATGTTAGTTACAGCTTTTAACATCTCATAATACATTTGGCAAGGTTCATACTCTTGGTTTATAGATCGATAAACTAATAATCACATATACAGATTTTATGCTTATAAAACAATGACATTCACTCTGCATGGGCACTTTGAATGGTATTGTTATAACACGTTTGTATTATCTCACAGCTTATATAAATAAATAAATAATTTCAAAATAGATTTTTTCTAGTATATATAATAATAAATTTTTGCATCATATCTTTAAACTTTAACAAACTAAAATTTCCCCAAATAATATACAGTAATTTAAATGATTATAATTATTTTAAATGATTATATTATTTAATTAAATTAATTATTTATTAAATAAAATTAATTACCCTGATTATTGATATAAAAACCGAACTATAAAGCTTAATAAATAATAATAATGAAACGTGACAGATAATATAAATTACTCGAAATATACGAACGTGTTTTATATGACAATGCAAGTCATTGCCATCTTCTTGAAGTGATTATGTTTAACCGGGAACTATGTAGGGGAGTTGAACCGTTAATAATTAATTTATCAATTGATTAATTAATGGGGAACAAGGGAGTGAGGCTACTTTACACATCGCGCGCCGTTACATGAAACGTGAACGTTTGTGCGTGGGAGATCCCATATCCACGTCATGCGAAGCAGGCCGTTTATGATGTCGAGCGAATTCGCTACTAATAAAAGCCGATAATTCGGCTTGTCTTCCAGTACGCCGAGATATTGGTGAGCCTATTTAAAATTATTAAGATTTTTTTTAATTATTTAAGAAAATTATTATATTATGTTAATTATAATAAATGAGATATCAGCATTAATATAATCTTTTTATTATTACAATTATGAAACTCTATAAATTTTAAATAATGCACAATGATCCTAATATTTTTTTTTACTTATATTTTTTATTCCTTATATTTTATTACTTATATTCATTATATTAAAATAATTCTTACCAGACAATGCAATTGCTTCTCTAAATGTATGTAATTCAGGATCAGGATCATTTCCAGGTATTGGTGTTGGTGCAACAACCATATTTGGTGTTGAACTTTCTGTAGAAGGCGAACTACAAACCATCATCCTTGGTTTAGGTGAACTTCTGAAATTTGTTAATATTCATTTTATATCTGTGTTACTTCCATTAATAGGACAAACCTTATAAAAGTTATTGATGCATTAATGCCTATAAAATAAAACAATTAAGATATTTTTTTATAGTGAAATATAATAGTATAATTTTAATGTCTTCCCTAGCTTTTGAAATTATTCTAAAAGCTATAGAGAACACATTTGTATGTATATTAAAGAAATTGATACAACATTTACCTATGCGAATGTGGTCGAGGTGGAGGTGGTTTTCCAGCTAGATATGCTAACAAATCTTCTCTACGAATCATACGCCTTTTCTTTCTAGCCCAATTCATAATTTCTTTACTACGCTTTTGTCGGCCCATTTCTATACCTAATTCACTGCATCGACGCATGCTGTCCATAGAATCTATTAAAATATTTCACACTTATAAACTAAATAATATTTATTATATAGAAAATTATATAAATAATGCGTTAACATTATTGTCTCAAATATATAATATATACATATTTTTTAATATATTATATAAAATATATACATATTTTTAATATAACAAAATAACCAAAAGAATAATATTAAAAAAATTATCTTTACATAAATAATTATAATCAGATAAACACTTAAAATAAGTATAATAACTATAAAATAATACAAATTATTGAAGTTATTAAATAAATAAATAAATATAATAACCATAAAAGAATAGAACTTTCATAATATAATCATAAACTTATATTTTTAATACTTTTTTAAAACTAAAATTCATTATTTTAAATATAATTAAAAAATTGAAATAATTTTGAAAATTTAAAATTATTTTCAAATAATAATAGGATAAAAAAATTAAAATTTTAATACAAAAAAGAAACATTATATTTATTTCAAAATAAATAAAATACAAAAATAATCATTAAAACAAGCATCATAATCAGCATACATAATACTTGCAATCATTAATAATGTAAATATTTGACATTGATTTAATATAGAACTTATATATAATTATCTGCAAAAAATGATCTAATTTCCTGAAAATAACAGAAATCAACTCTATTTTCTATAAATATTCGTAATCGTCCTGAAAGTTTGCGTCAATTAACAGCTGACCTTCAGCATTGGTCAGCTGTGCGAAGCGACTGACGCACATATACGTGCAAACACATTACCATTATGTGTATGTGTTGTGTGTAAATGACGATTGTACAAAAGAATGACTGAATACTAGAGATGAGGATAAAAAAGAGAGGAAAAGCAACAAAAAAAGGATAATGTTATAAAAAGAGAAAAAAAGGAGAATAAGAAAGTTAGAATGAAGATTTATCTTGCTCACATTGTTGACAAGAGAGACCAAGGAAGTGCACGCACCTTTGTACAACGATGTGACGGTACCTGCAGCAGTCTGGAAAGGTACCCATAGAGAGACACCCTGCGTACGATCTGTAAAAGAGCAAAGCCGAAAGGAACTGGTTACACGATCAGATCGATATGCACATGCGGCGAAAAAAGGGAATCGAAGCAAACGAGGAGCGAGAACAGTGGCGTATCCTCTCGTACGTCGCACAAAATGGATGTCACGCAAATGGATGTAACTACGAAATGTTCTCGTTACTCATAGACATCGAAAGTCATTTTATAAATGAATGAAAGAAAGATATAAATGATGATCAATATTATCATCAAATTAACTTGCCTTTATACAGCTGGGCGATGGCCGACGCAGTCGTCTGAAAACTCGTCCACATCTGCTGGGAATAAAGTTCCTTTTCGTTGTGCAGTTGCGTTTCGTAATCTTGTTCTGTTTCCAATGCTTCAACGCACTGTTGTTCCCAATTGCTATACCAAAGATCCATTAAAGGATCTTCTTCGCTTCGATCTTCGCTCATGGTTCGTCGTCCTCGAGACTCTTATTGTGAGCTCACGCCTCGCCCACCCACAAGCACTCACGATACGCACAGAAATCGCGTAACTCTTAAACTTCGTCGTATCTTCTCGTTTTTCGTATTTGCTTACCCTACCTCTTTTTCCGCTCGTCTGCTTCACGTAACGCGAACACGGTAGCTCGCATGCACATCACCCGAGTCAGGTCGCGGCCATTACGATGTGCCTCGCTCGAGGATCGCACGAGTCTCACGCGCAACGAAACACGAAATACGAATTGGCAGGTACGAAGAACGAACTAACCCACGATACATAATCCCTTTTCACCCCTCGACTACGACGACGCACTGATCCCTGGAAATCACTGCTGCGCTCTATTCAAGAAAATGCAGTACCTAGTATGCGCAGTTCTTATCAAATCTTTGTGTTATCGATAAAGAAGAGTTACGATAAATTTGTTTATTATTTATTTTCTTTTTAATTTGTAGTTATTGCTTCGATACTTAAAAAACCTATAATATTTCTTTTATATATATATAAAATAGATAATTAGAATATACTTTACTTTGATAATATGTACTTGTTAATATTATAAGTTATATTTTTCTTCTTGTAGTAAAAATTTTTAAGAATTATATATATATATATATATATATATATATATATTTACATACATACATATATATGCACAATACCTAACTACCAAGAAATTATAATTTCATCTTTGAACGATATTTAAATTATCGATTGAAATTGATAATATAATGCAATATAGTTCAAAAAATTTGAAAAAGATGGCGCTAATGTTAAAAGTGACGGAAGTACATGCAGTACAACATTTTATACGCCGTTCGTGTTTGTATTTCAGCTGTTGAGTCGTACACTTGTGCGGCTCGTGCTCGTGAATTGGAATACGAGCAATTTTTAATAACTTTTATTGACGAAACAACATTTTAATTATAAAATGACAGGATTTACAGAAAGTGCACTGGTGAAAAGACTAATGGATTTAAATCCTTCTCAACAGAGTATTCAAACACTTTCTCTTTGGTTAATTCATCACAGAAAACACCATCCGACCATCGTGAAAGTCTGGTTTAAAGAGATGTGTAAAGGTACGTTAAGATTGCCGTAAGTATATCTTTTTATTTTACATTTCAAATTTTGAGTATCAAATATTATTTTGTTATTGAATTATTTTTATATTATATTCCAAATAAAATAAATATAAATTAATCTTCAATGAAATTTTTAGGTTAACTTGTAAATTAGTCCTTCACTACGTAATTATGAACATATTTCTCGTAACAGTATGTCAACTGCAAAATTGTATTTATATTATTGATAGTTATCTGTTACAATTATAATATATAACATTTTAAATGATATTATAATTTTTTATATTAATTTAGAAATATATTTTCATGCAAATATACAATTGTAATTTATATTTAATTCATTACGTAAATTATTATATTATTATAAAATTGTTTATAATATTTCTTAATATTTATAGTTTTGTTACTTAAATTACTTAAATTAATTATATCATAAATATATATTTCAATATATTTTTTTATAAATTTTTTCTATAATTTATTTAATTCTGCTTAATTTCTTAATTACAATTTTTATTATAAATTAAGTTTTATAATTTTAGCAAATAAAATGTTAATTTATTTTAAAATTCCATAAAATTAATACATTTTTTTCAAATATCATTATTATTACTATATTTTTTACAGTGAAGGATAATCGTAAACTTATGTTTATGTATCTGGCAAATGATGTTATTCAAAACAGTAAAAAAAAAGGACCAGAATTTGGAAAAGAATTTGAAACAGTTTTACCAAAAGCTTTTGAACATATGAAAGGATTTGACGAAAAGACAAGAGAAAGATTAAATAGGCTGCTTCAAATTTGGGAGGAAAGGGGAGTTTATGATAAGACACAAATTGCAGAGTTTAAGGCTGCTTTTACAGATACATCAAGAGATCCAGGAACACCACCTCCAAAAAAAAAACTTAAGAATGATATAGAAAAAGTAAAGGTAACATATAATACTAATTTTAATTTATATTAAATATAATATCTCTAATTATATTATTATGTTTATTATTATAGAAAGATAAAAAGGAGAGAAAAAAATCAGAGACTGAAGTTGAAGTGGATGGAACCAAAGAGCTACATGTAACATTAAGTCCTCGTACTCCCGCAGGAGATCCACCAGAAACAGAGGAACTCATCAAAGCTTTAATGGTTAATACCATTTATAAAAAGAACAAAAATTCGGAATATGTATCGTTAGCAATAAACTATCTTATATATAGAAAAATATATGTTGAATCCATAAGGCATATTGGCAAGCATAATTACAATTTGATATTTCCATCCCCAATAGTAGTTTTATATTCTATTTATATATCATCTATATTCTTAATCTATTTCATAATACATTTTTATGTTTTTAATAAAAAATATTTTATTTCTTGTTTGTTAATTTTAAACAATAAAATAATATAATATTGATTTTATTTAAAATTTATACATTAAATAGTCCTTTTACTTTTTGAAAAATAGATATTTTTATTTAATTAAACTCGAAGTTTAATAAAATAAAAAAAATAGTATTCTTATTTTCTTAAATAAATATTACATCTAGAAATAATGTAAAAATATAAATTAAATATTTAAATATGTGTATATGCACATGAATGTATTGAAGGCAATTACTAAAAAAAAGCCTTCTTTATTTCAGGATTTGGAAAACACAGCATCTTCAGATGCTGGTGTTAGAGAACGTATTGCATCTTTACCACCAGAAGTATCTGAAGTTTCACTTCTTGCAAATTTAGCAGATAGAGCAGCTGCTGATCAATTAAGTGTTGCAGTAAATGAAGCTGCTGCATTATTAGCAGATTATAATGGAAGATTACAAGCAGAGATGGAAGACAGAAGAAGATTATTAACTATGCTTAGAGATTATACTTTGGCACAAAGACAGTTACTCCAGCAAGCTCAAGCAACATTGGAAGTATGGTTATACTCTTTTTGATAAATAAATCCTTTATATTTATTAAAAAATATATGTATATGATTTACAGAATTTAATGATGTTTCAGGATTATAAAGAAAAGCTTAAAAAAGTATGTGCAGTACGATCTGAAGTTAAATCACATATTTCCAATTTACCTGATTTGACTCAATTACCTGATGTTACGGGTGGATTAGCACCTCTCCCTTCAGCTGGTGATTTATTTTCTATGCACTAGCACGTGAGTTTAGAGAGCATGATCATTGAATTATTTTTGAGTTCCATGCATAAATGAATTCAACCATGCTATGTTAGCTTGGTTTTTGTGATGAAATATATCTTATACTATAACTTTCTATTTTTCAATATTTAATATATTAAATATTGATCCTCGCATGTACAAGGTATGAAAAAGTACTGAAACAAATACCATAAATAAATAATTTTACAAAATACTTTAGCAATGTGAATAAGCAAATGAACCAAGTAATTATATACACTTCAGAATTTATAAAACTATTGTAATTTTCAATTTTATATATCAATTAAAAATTGCCTATTTGTGTTCTTTTGTTTTATAAATATAAAGCAGCAAACAGTCACAACTAATTTTTACTATTTAAAAGATATAATAAACAAATTTTTAATTCAAAAACAATAATGTTCCTGTTTTGCTAATAATAAAATGCATAAGGAACTCAAAATATTGAACAAATTTCACACAATCTCATTTTTCACTTATAAATATTTAATCAGCTAATAATTTTTAAATATTTCACTCGTAAATTGGTATATATAAATTATAAGATATAAGAAATTCGAAAAAAATATGTCATTTCTTCAAATTTAAAATTATATAAACTGACAATTTTATTTTTAATAAAATTAATTCAAATTATTATAAAGACTTCCACTAAAAATAAAAAAAAACTACATGTATGAAATAATTAAATATATTACATGTTACAAATGTGCACTTAGAAACATACAGATACTGAAAATTTTTAGTTAAACATTATGATAAACATTGCTTAAAAGCAATGTTTAGAATGTTACACATATAATATTTGATAATTATCCCTTGTATATATATATATCGTAGGTAATGTAATACTGGGACTGAGAAATGCGTCTTAACATATAACGCTATAGTTGATTTTGAATGAATATTGGTCTGCGTAAATAAATAATATTGTATATGAAATATTGTACGAAATAAATCGCGTGATTGTGCATTGCGAAAATTGTAATAATATGCAAAATATTAATACGAATAGATGTTTTGTTCGTTATAATAGTATTTTTCATTTAATAACCTTAATCCATACAAATACTTAAATGTTATTATTTGTTTTCATTTTATATTATTTAAAATAATTCAATCATAATTACGTTATTAATTATAAAAAGATATAATTAATAAACTTAAAAATTAAAAATGAATATAAAATTCAATATTAAAAATATACATTCTTAATAAAAAATTTTATTTAAAATACATTAAAATAAATTTATTTTACATTTAAATAATATTTATCTTTATTTAACATTTCTTGAAATTTTACAATATCATATCTGTATATAAGTTTAGAAAAATTATATTGTAATAACTAAAATTATAATTGATATTAACTTTGAGTAAAGAATTATATAGAGAATTATATTGTTATGTTTATTTGATTAGAAAATTCTTAATATTTACAGTTTTATATGTTGAAATAACAAATTTTTTAATCATAATATACATATATATATATATAAAATAAACTATATTACTTAGAAATGTATGACATTCTAGCACATACAATATTACATTTATCATTGTTTTGAAATAATTGGTAATTTATTATTTAAACTGATATTTTATTGAAAAATGTTAATATTTTGGTCATTATTTTTAATATATTCATAATTTATGTACTTTATTATTTTTCAGATTAAATTTATACAAATATACTTATATATTGTTTTTTTTAATGAGATTAAAGTAGTTTTTTAAAGAATAAAAAATATAAATTTTAATTATTAGATTTAATTATTAGATATATATTATTATTCTTTTAAATACTAAGTACAACAAAATAATATTTTAAATCTTATACTAGTATCAAAAGTGTGATTTATACATATTTTTTATGATCACCCTGCATAATAATTCAGATTTTTATAAATACTTTGACAATTATCATAAAAGTTATATCTTTAATTTTCATGATGTCGTGATCTTGTTGGTTTAAGAATGAGTTTTCCAGTATCATCACAACTCATATTAAAATTACTAAGAACACTTCTAGCTCTTTGAGTTATAATACTTGGTGCTATTACACGTCTATGTACTCCCATCATAAATAATATTACTAAAAAAAAATCAATAATATTTGGCTATAAATCAATAAAAATATCACATTAATTATGCTTACCTAAAATTATACTAGCAATCGCAAAAAATGGATGATTACATAGACTTTGTGTAAATGATACAGCTGGTGTATTTGGATCTGTCAGCCAATGCCATGCACCAACAGCAGTGCATACAGAAATAAAACCTAGTAGCACTGAAAATAATATTATATTAAATATATGTATAACAACAACATTATTAAATTCATAATGTAATAAATAAGTAATATTAACATTACATTATCATTTATAAAAAATTAATAAGAAATTTTATAAAACTTAAGATTAAAGAAATAGAAAAACATACTTCTCCATCGCAGAGTAGCTGGTTGTAAACTAGCAATTACTTCAGTAAGTCGTCTTTCAAACGCTTTTAAATCTGAAAACAATTATATGAAAAAGATAACCTCAAAATTATACACTCATTGTATATATTATTATGTCTCTATATTACTTTTCACTAAACATAAAAAAATAATTTAATAGATAAAAATTGAAAATTTTTACCTTCACACACCGTTTGATCTAAAGACATTTTACATATATGTGTGTGTTATTTAATTAAAAAAAGTTACAAATAATTCCGGTTGGAATCACATCATTCACGTCACTATCGTTAAAAAAATGAATTGTTGTACACGTTTATATATAATATAAAATATATATATTTTTTAATGCCATATATAATTTAAATATACTATTATAATTAATTATTTTATCAATATCATAAATATTAATATAAATAATAAAAATGTTTCTACTTAGTACAAAGTATATTCAATAAAATAGTATATATATATATTATTGATATTTATTTAAAAGTCATAAGAAAAGAAAAATCACTAAATAATATCTTAGATTTTATTCTCTAAATCAAACGTGATACTACGATACTTCATAATGTTAAATATTTAATTGTAATTGTAGCTTCATATTATAGTTTCATTATTATATGAATTAATTATTCTATAATTCATTTAAGTTTATAACAATACAATAAATTTTATATTCAATACATATATATATTTGCTAAATATTTTAATCATTCATAAAAATAATATAATAGTCAAATATTTTTTTTTTAATTAAAAAAACAATAAAATTTTAAAAATTAAAAATTTTATATATATATATATTATAATTTCAAATGTTTTAACATTTTATAATTTTAATATCATTTAAATTTTAAATTTTATTTAGAATTTATTTAAGCTAATTACACATGTTCCTATTTCATATATCTAAATACACATATATACGTATTATAAACATGAAACATAATTTTATGAAATCCATGTAATTTTTAACAATATGAATATTTATGTGTTTCTATTAAAAATATTATTGACACACACACACACACATACACACACATTTTTTTATTTTTATATATCATGATATATTTATATTTTTATATTATGTTTATAATTTTTTATATCTTTATATTTTCTATTTTCTTTACTTTTTTTGATATTTTTGCGTATAAATTCATTTACAGTATTTTTCAAACAAATATTTATAACATTATAAAATTAACGTTATATTTATTCTTTTTCTTATAAACTATTAATATATTATATTCTGTCCATAAATTAAATACAAAAAACATATCGAATAATTTAGAAATTAATAGTTTTATCTAGTTTGGATATTGAAAACTCTGATTTAATATAAAATATACGAGAAGATATTTATTAATACATTTATAATATCACAGATAAAGAGAGTCAGTACGTGAGAGAAAGATTCTAGTCTAATATTATTTTCTTTGTTTGTGATATCATAAATATATATTTTGCATATTACTAACTTAAAGCTTTCTTAACTAAACACGAGATGACGCCATGAATTTCTAAATTATATTGAATTTATTTCTTTTATTTATTTTGTGAATAAAAATATTTTATACGTCTATATATCTATATAACTACATACAAATTCTATATATATTTTTTGTATATTAAATATATATATATATATATAAATTAAATAAAATAATTAAATTTCGGATGCATATTTTGTATATATTTTTATACATATTTTATACTCGTATATAAATATATAAATAAAATTATAAGTATTATACAAAGCATGTATTTATAATAGTATAGTTTATAATCTTTATAATACTACACATGTAAAATATAAATATATATTACAAATATAGATTTTTAAATTAATTAAATTATATATATTTCATATATACATTTATTTTCACTTAAAATCATACTATAATAATTTTTAATTCTGGTAAATCTATTAAATGCCAGAATTTATAAGATAAAATTTATTTTAGCTTATGCAAATAGTCAAAATAATTATGAAAAATTAATAAAAAAAAAGTTTGAATGTTAAGGAATAAAATTTCATTACAAAATTATTATTTTACAATTTTAATAATAGATGATATATATTATTAACTATGACGTTTTGTATGAAATCAAATTCCAATTAAATAAATATTAATCTTAAATTAATGATAAAATAAAATAAAATCTTATACAATAATATAAAATAATGAAATATATTTAAGATTTTAATGTTAATAAAACTTAAATAGAAGAAATGAGATCAAAGTTCTAAGATGAAACATCAATTATATTTAAAGTTATACAATTACTTATAAATGTTGCATCTTTTGTTTTACATTATTATTATCTACTATATATATAATTACATTTAAATCTTTATTCACTGCAAATGTTTTATCTTTTTATGATCTTATATCGAAAGTAATATATACATATTTTATTGTCGAAGATATGATCTTTGACCGTCAAATAAACGTTGGAGGTCATTATCCCTTATCTCGTATGTCTGGTCAATATTATCGACCCTGACAATAATACAGGAGGTTCCATGGTTGATTCACGATTGTTCCCATAGAAACGTACCTTGCGATCGAATCGCGACCGCGCGTTCCTTTCGCATTTAATATAAGCTACATGTGTGTGTATGTATCGAATCTTGTATAGTCTTGCAGTCCTACCGCAGTCTCAAATATTGACACGACCTGCGATGAACTCGTGTAACGTCTTTTGACATTCAAATTCGACATTCGCGCCGGAAGTTGTATCGCATCGGAAGATCGTTGATTCGTTGGTGTATGATGTTCATTTGAAGAAAACAGAATAGGTAAAATTGTCGCGTGTTAAATAAATATTGATTGATGTAGATTATTTTTCTTTTATTTTTCTGCGTACTTGATTATATTGTCATTACCGATCGTACAAATTTTTTTTCGCACAAATCGTGTCGCGCGCCAATAATGATTGGGAGAACATCATTAGTGGAACAAAAGAGGATCCAATGGGCGAAAGAGAGAGGTAACTACGGAATTCAATCATTCTATAATCCAAAAATCGACAATCTTGACGAATATATAAAATATTTGTAATATTTATAGAAATAATCCAAAATATCGAAATAAGATCTAGAATATTAATATTAGAATTAATAATATATATGAAGTATATCATAAAGTACAGTTATGTTTTGTATTAAAAATATATTAAATTTAAATGAATAATTGTTTTAAAATGACATGTTATATAAAATATTAATATATATATTAAATTATTATCGAATTAAATATAAAAAAGGCATTATTATATATAATAATATTGAATGGAAAATTAATATTTTATATGAATACTATAGAAGAAATGGCACGTCTTGGCGGAAGTTGGGGTCTTCTGAAAAATAATGTTAATATCCGCACCAACATCCGGTAAGTATATAAAAATAGTATACAATATATGACCACGATAAATTTCAGTTTTTTAACTTGAAGCATTAAATATATTTAAATATAAGATATTATAGAATAAATTGAAATAAATTATGCAAATTATAAGCAACATTAATAGTAAAATTTTGTATTATTTTTTAAAATAAATCTTTTATAAAAAACATTAACGTATATACATATATATACATACTATAAATTAATCGAAATAGTTAAATCAATATTAAAAATATTTATGAAAAAATTTTGTTTTAAAAAAAATTACTAATTTTTGTTATTATATTAATATTTCTAATATTAAAGTAATAAAATTTTGTTCAAAATTTTATAAAATTTATAGTTTAAGATAATAAGCATACTTAATAATATTATAAAAAATATTGGCATAGAATTAAGAAATTATACATCCAAGTAAATATCTATTCATTTTGCAATTGATCATTTCTTCAGTAATATTCTAATACTAAATAAAATAGATCGATAGATTAAATATTACATTTTATATAAAATTAAATTCTGCATATATACTTTTAATTAATACTTTTAAATTCTGCAATAAAAATTATCTATTTTTCAAGAAGTTGAAAAGTAGTTAAATAATTCAAGAATATATTAAAGCTTAAATAAGACACTTATTTGACCATAATTCATTAAATAAGTAACACTAAACGTTTCCAATAAAAGAATGATTATAAATCATTCATCTTGATTATAAATCAAATTGCTTTTATGCTGTGATATATTAATAAAATACATAATGCAGCACTTATCCGAATGGCACAAGAATGTCCTTAATGGAAACGAAAGACAAGCAATCGGCCTCGAAACCTTTTCGTGCTAATGGACATTACGGAAGTACCGTCAGCCTGAAGAGCTTGGGAACTGAAAGTTCCGGAAACAGCGGCACAAATGTAAAATATCTGGATTGCAATAGTGGTAGCTTGATAAATCTACACGAACAAATGGAAGTATCGCAAATCAGACATAGAAGTCCTAGCTTACCACCAATTTATAACAAGGACCAACAGCAATATCTTTGTCAGGTTTGTCTGCACAATACGCTTTGATTTTTAAAATATTTTTTTGTAAAAAAAATATATGGCAATCTTTTTTAATTTTTAAATTAAAATTTCCTGAAAGTAATGAGATTATATTTTAAATATTTTGTATACTTTATAGTCAAACCTTGATAATTCAAACTTTTAAGATTAAGATAACTCTGTTCATCTCTTTTAGCGAAAAGATTTTAATTTTTTCCCTAAGATTTAAATTATCGAAATTCGATTATAAAAAAATTTAGAATAATAATAATTATTTCCTAAATGAATTTTCTATGTCATATATTATCTTATTATATGATCGATTACTTTTGAATATTCAACATATATAATCTGTTTTAAAAGCCGTTTTATCTGATGGCAGAATAATAAATGAATATTTTTAATTGCTACTTTGAGATTGTGTTGAAAACTATACGTGATTGTATCTTATTATTCGTGAGGGGAAAGCAAAAGTAAGGCAGTCTGGTAAATCGATTCTTATCTTCCAACTAAAGTTCACTCACCTCTTGATTACCTCTTATGTAGCATGACCAGGTTTCTTAATACTTAAATTACATACTATCTACATACCCTAATTTTCATACTGAATATAAGGTATACATATAATATCAAAACAATTTTATATTTATATTTAATACGTAGACTATATTTATAGACTTTGATTAAAATATTTATAATATTTTTAATTAGAATTAATTGTTAATTGTAATAATTATAAAGAAATTATAACTATATTTAAAATATTAAAAAAGATTTTATTTTCTTTTAAAAAGATTGTCTATTTTAAATAATGAAATTTAAGTAAAGGGAAAACAATTGTTCTCCTTAATGTGAAATCCATTTTTAAATAAGAAGCACTATAAATCTTGTAAATCGACACAGAATTCTGTTCTGATTTGTCGTTCCTGTCTCATACCGGTACAGTAATCATATCCAATTTTCAGTATAAATAAATTATACGTTAAACATGATTTACATATTGATGTAAAAATAGAATAATATTACTCTTTTGTCACGCGAGCTCTTTTCTTTCTGTTTTTAGCTTTCATTGAATCGATAAAAATTGATTGTTTCATATTCTAGGATCAACAACGAGATTTCGCTATAGAAGGATTGCATTACAATTCCAAAAAATCTCAACGACTATACGATCGTTGTGAAAATTCAAAAAATAATCATTATGGTCTGCAAGCTGAAGAACGCGAAGGAGAAACTTCCGGTTATGCCAGTGATTCTGTAGAGGCACCTGCATCAGTGAAAGCAAGTAAGTTAATATAATATAAAATTTAAAAAATTTTGAAATATATAAATAATACAGGTATATAAATAAATATAGTGCAATATTTAAAATATTATAATTATAAAATTTAAATATATTATTTAAATATATCATTTATTTAAATATATATTATATAAATATATATTATTTAAATATATCATTTATATCATTTATATTATTTGTGTAATAAAAAATAATATATACAATATTAAAATTTAACGTGAAAATAGATATAATTATTAAAAAATGATATTTTTTGAATTGAAATTTTTAATCAATTATATTAAAATTTTTTCTTTATTTTATATATATAGCATTTTTACCTGATTGTAAGCCATCAGGAACGGAAATAGCCGAAAAAATGTGGCAAAATCCTTATCAGACAACACCTGAGAGTTCATTACCACCATCGAGGAGATTATCTGATGGTAGAATAGGAGAACTGAACAGGCCAAGGTGGGGTAGTGTCTGGGGTCAAGAGACTTCGCGAGGAGACCCACCACCACCTTCTTGGTTGTCAAGATTAGGACATTCGAGTCAAGTACGATTATTATTATTATCAGAAATACTTTATAATTCTATTTAATAATTAGAATTAATTTTAATTAACGTGAAAAATGTTATATTCTTTATTTTTATGAATTGTTTTAATATTATTCATTTTTTTCATTCAAAATTTGTAATATTTTTATTGGTTTTTATAAAGGTTTTAGTTATTAATCATGAGAGTGCAAGCAGTTCAGATTGCTCGACAGTTGGTTCAATTGGATCTGATAATAAAACTTATCTTCGTGGTCAAAATATTCCTGTTGATACTAATATTCTTCAAGAAAGAGAAGCAAAAAGACAGAAAGCTCTAGAACTTCAGAATGCGATTAAAAAACAACTTGAAGAGAAAGATCGACAGAAAAAAGAAGAAAAAGAGCAAAGATTGAGAGAAGAACAATTAGAAGAAGAACGAATCAAACGAGAAAGAGAAAAAGAGAAAGAAAGGTACAAGTAAATTGAGTTTATTTTTACAATAAATTATAATAATCTATGTTTATTGTGTGAATTTAATTGCTCAATATCTGATTATTTTTATTATAGATTCGAAGAAGAACAAAGAAGACTAAAAGAACGAGAAGCGGCTAAATTAAGACAAGCTGAAGCAATGCGTGAAGTTTTAGAAGCAGCAGAACGTTTGGCAAAAGAACAAAAGAAATTTCGACGTAAAAGCGAAAAAAATAATGAAGAAAATTCCATTATATCCTCTAGAAGTTCTGAATCTAATATTTTAAATGAAAATCAGTTTAATAAAAATTGTCTAAATGTGAATAGTCAACAAAATCTAACTATTAATAATGATGATGTTAAAGATAAAAAAGATAAACAAGAAATATTAAATGAAAAAGAAAATAATAATTTTAATAATAACAATAACAATAACAACAACAATAATAATAATGAAATATTTATCGATAATAGTGATAATAATAACATATTAGAAGATTTGAAACAGAATACGAATAATATAAAACCTGTTCAAGTTCCTGTCAGTAAAGATGTGGCGATTGTATTAAGTGGTCGACTCGAAGATTCAGAATTACTCAATAAAGCGAATTTGCAATTAGTCAATTTAGTATTAACTCCAACACCAAGACAATTAGAAAATAATTCTAACACAAATTTATCTGTAGGCTTGAATAGTCTTATACAGAACATAGGAAATTCGAATTTTACTTCAAATTCTTTCAAAATTCCACCAATGATCGTAGAAAACAGATTGCTCACGCCAAGCAAATACAGGATTACAAATGGTCGAGATTTTGGTACACAAACAGATGTAGAGAACGATCTTCAAGATTTTCTGGAAAAAATGCAGAACTGCACCATTAAGGATACCTCTGAGAAGGATCACAAGGATGCAACAAATGCTAGTAAAAGGGATATTGAAAAGTGAGTCAAAATATGATGCATTGAATCACTTCAAAAGTTGAAGAATCGTAGAGGATATTATTCTTCTGTCTTGCAAATAGAAGCGGTAATTATTATTTCATTTCGTTTATCGAAATTTTATTTTTTGCATATTTTATCTATATAATTTTAATTATATAATTGATTTAACATTATTTTTTTATTTTATATTTATTTACATGGATACACATTATTTATTATTGCAAGTTATATTTATTTGCATTATGTTTGAATGTTTATAAACATGCAACTATTTGATACTATAATTATAATGAAATATTTACATATTATTAATTGTTATATGCAAGATTTATTTGTTAATTTGAAAGGTCCACTAATATTGGTTTATCAGGAGATATTATTGTGAAAACTTTCCCTCGATCAAAATCTATGCCCAGAAGAACTATTGAATCTAGACCACAATGGAATGCTAATAGGTAATTTTTAATAACATTATATTAAATATTTTAAATATGAATTATGGTGATAATTAAACAAAATGTTTTTTAGACCAGGAACTCGTTATCGCACGCAAAGTGAAAAAGATCCTCATTATCAACGTCGATTGCAAATGAGAAGACGTCAAATCGAATCTAGCGATGAACGCTCTAGGTATTTAATTCTGATTAATTTTCTAATTTTTTTACATCAAGAATTGTATAATGAACAATCAACTCTTCCATAGATCACCATCTCCTGACAGAAGGAAATTTATAAATACAAAATCGAAAATTCGAACATTAAATAAATCAAAAGTAAAAATTGTTACCTATGATCCAGACCTTTCGATGGACAATTTGAATTCTACTATTATACCATTGCGAACTGATAAGAATGGAAGAATCATTATTGAAGAAAATAAATGTGAATATAATGATAAAATTCGATTAAATGCTCATATTAATAATGTTGAAAATATTAAAGAATCACAAAATGAAAATTCTAATATCTGGTGCGGACAAGAAATTTTATCTAAATTATCTACCTTGAAAAATGTATGTACTTTATGTTACATGCTTGTTATATGCTTTAATATATTAGAATCTTAAATATATTTATTTTTTAGGGCCTTTTAATGAAGCAAATGGAATGGAATTCCGAGAGATGTCTAGTCTCTCCCGTTGCATCAGAAATTTATTAACAAGAACCAAATGCCGCGTTTTTGTGCACATTTTTGTTACTTTTATTTTATTTTTGTAGAAAATGAGATTGTACAAACTACATAAAATAAGGAAAGAATAATAATTCATGTTTTGGAAAATGAAAATAAAAATCTGAATATTATTCTTGGATTGCAGATATAAATAATGGCCTTCCAATTGGACGATCTTCTAAAGGAAGATAAGAAGGATGCAAATTTATTACCTGATCTAAGTAAAGCAATTTGTAATTCTCAAGAAGAGTTCCGTCGACTTCTGGAGAATTGTCCTGAATTTAAAATTAAACCAGAAAAGGTTTAAATGATATGAATAATTTAATTCAGCTACAATTATATAAAATTAACAAAAAATTCCAAATACTCATTAAATTGAACAAAGAATATTTTAAATAAAAATGATATTGTATTTAATACTTTCTTATTTAATAACAATTTAGTAACGATTACGGTAATAGGTAAAAAAAGAAGATGCAAAAGTGCGTGACAAAGAATTTTCTTGGAAACCAACTAAAAAAGAGTTGAAAGCATTTGGAAAAGAATGGAATTACGGAAATCCAATACCTCCAGATATGAAAGATTTAAATCTTCACGAATTACAACAAGTTGCTATTGACTGGAGAATGTTAACATCTATTAGATCAAAAAATCGACAAGATGAAGAAATGTTCTCTAGATTAGTAATTATTTCATTTAGATCTTATATCCTGTGAGAAATTAATTTTTAATTAATCTTTAGTTTAATATAATTATTTATATTTATTTATAAATCTTATATTTAACAAATAATTTTATTTCATATCATAATTTATCTTTTAGGTGGAAATGGGAAAACTGGAAGCAAAAACAATTGCTAAAGAACAACGATCAATTATAAGTCCCATTAGACGTACTAAAAATCGTGCCGGTATGATTGAGAGTAGCGTAAAAATATGTAGTGAATGTGGAGAAGAATATTGCCTTGGTGAATTTTGTGGCGATGTTATATATGATTTATATGTAAGAATAAATGTGACGGTTCAACAACCGAAAATAAAAATATCCGCTGATACTGAAGCAATAATAGCTAATATGGATCGTAAAAAGAAACGCAAAAGGAAAAAGAGAATAAAAATTAAAAATACTAGAAAAAATGGTAGATTGTTAATTCGAAGCAAAAGAATGAAATCTATGGCTAATGATTTAGGAAGAAAAAGTAATAAAGACAAGTTAGAAAATAATGAGAACAATTCAAAGCCTGTTAAACCATTTAAAAGAAAATGCAGTAAATATACTAAAAAAGGATTTCGAAAATAAATATAAAAGGTAACAGAAATTAATACATGTTATAAATTCCGAAAATATTTATCGTGAATTAAAATTTATTTGTTACGAAAGTAAATCTTTTTATATTATTGTATATTAATGTAATTGTCAAAGTAAAATATGATAAATATGAGATGTATGTATTTTAATAATACTAAATAGATACTATTTATGCTATGTAAATAATTTATGTAGAAAATAAAAATTAAAAAAGAATTAAGGATTAATTGATGAAAAATGAAAACGAAGATTATATACATTTATTATTTATCTATATTCTGTGGTCCCTTAAAACGTGGAATAAATTGATCTGTCTTACAATATTCAAAAATTGTAATGACAATTAAATATATATATAAAACAACATGACGATAATTAACGGGCAGGCGCAATAAATGGTTGCAACTAAATATTAGAAAAATATAATTTTTATTCCTCATTTCATTTATCTCTTTTTGTCTCTTTTTATTTTCTGATTCATTCTTTTCTTTTCATTTATACTTTTATCTAAAAAATGTCGCAACCAAAAAATCAATCATAAAAGAAAAAATATTCTGTTTCTTTATTTAAATCTATTCTTCAATTTTAATATAATTTAAAAATTATAAAATTTTTACATTGAAAAAAATTTAAAAAAAATTCCGAAGTTTGTAATAATTGTATAATTTAAATAGAAATATGTATCCATGGAAACAGAACATTTCTTTTGAATTATATTTTTTCTATTGATTTTAAAAGAAAACTCCATTATATCGATTTTTCATCTTAACATTGAATCGTACGCTAATATAATAATAATATTTAAACTGACTGAAGTACATGTATTTTACACAAATATATTTATATAGATATATAGATAATATCAATAGCTACAATAACACTTTTGGTGAATAAAATACATTGTATATAACCATGACATTTTTGTTTCAAGTAGTATTCTAAATTTATCTAGTTTTTATTTAGTCTCATTCATCTTAATTATGATCAGAGTCCTAATCACTATTATTTTAATAATATTGTAAATATTAGGCCACTAAAGTTTCAAAACTTCTATCTATATTTTTATTTTGATGATGATTATATAAAAAAAAAACATTTTTAGTAAAAAATATTTCAATTATTTCAAATTAAATTCAAGTAAAATATCAACTATCAATTATTATATCAAACTATAATTTTGTTATAATAAAAAATATTATGCTAAATAAAATATTATATTTTAATTTCATTGGACACTGATCACCAACAATACTCTATAATCTTATACATATTTATACAGATGTTATTTAATCACTATCTTTTCTAAGCTACTATATTTTAGTATACAATAAGATTGTATATATATATATATATATATATATATATAACATTGCTATTTAATATACATATGTACAATTGCAATATTTTTTTAATTATAATCAGTACAATTAAATTTTAATTTAATTTTTTTTGGAAAGATATCCTTATATCGTCAATATTTAATTTTGTGTGCAATTCTTTTTTTTTATTAAAATTTTGAGATAACAAATTTTATAGTGATTTTTACATCGATATTTATAATTATTCGATAGACACGAGTAAAGTGCATATAAATGTTATTCAAAATATAATATTCTTCTATTAATACACATTTAAATATTCCTCTAATTTTCAGGTTCGTTAATCAAAAATTAATTTTGTCTCTTTATCATTGTATCATACGAGTTAGTGATTCGAAGAATATTACATATAAAAATATGATATTTAAATATCTACACCGCATGATTTCGGCAGCTGCTCAAATTTTGTTTCGATTATTAAATTTAAGTACATCAACGATTATACGTTATATAAATATTTCTTACGACCAGCGTTGAATAGTAACATATTTTTATTCGTAGTAATATAATTATAATTAATTAAATTCAATTTCTGACAACTAATTCTTCACTTAAATATATAAGTTTTTCATGTATCAATGTAGTTAACATTTTGAATAGGATATATATAATTATTTAAATAATGTTTATATTTATAGATATATAAAAACAAAATATAGATTTAAAACATTTCCATTGTTCTTTAGTACCATTTATATATTTAAGCAATAAAATGGAACAACTTGTACAAGAGAAAAAAATTATGAGAAAAATCATTACATATTCACACTGATCATAATGCTTTTAGAATAATTTTTACATTTTTTTTATGATTTACTTTAATTATAATTGAATAGATACAACAATTTATTATAATAACTAAAAGAGAATAACTACAGAAGAATAAAATTATAAAAAAACACAGACTATTATTTTAAAAAAGACATAAAAACAATATACAATATTAAGGCATTTAAAACAAAACTACCTATGGTAATGATATTATGCCTTGGTAATGAAAAAAAAATATGAAAGATAAATGATTTGTCAACCTGATGATAAGTTATTTTTTAAATAGAGAAATAGAGTCATTTTTCAAATGAAGATTAACACAATAATTAATGCAAAAATCAACTTTGCTTTGTTTTTAAATGGAATCATATTTTATTCTATTTGTAATAGATTATTTTAATTCGCGCGTAAGGATTTAATAATGTTGTTATTAAGTCGTTGAAAATTAATATAATGCAAAGAAAATAAAATTAATTTACGTTAATTTAATTTATTTAAAAAATTATACTGAATCATACCATTATTCAATATATATTCGAAATATTTTCAAATATACATTAAATATGTGTAAATAAATAAATTACTAAAAAGCAATTCCTTGAAAAAATTATTTCCATAATAGTTGGTTTCTAAAGATTTTAAATGATTTTTATAGATTATGTCTTAAAACATTTTATTAAAAGTAAAGAAATTTAAAAAAAAAATTAAATCTTTCTATCTTCTCTATTTCTTTATTTATAAAAAACTATTAATATCAGATTATATCCTTTTTTAATTTAATATAATTATTCTAATAGATTTTTTTTTAGATTGTTTAAATAATCTATTTTGAATGCCTTGCTTAGCATTTATAAGTAATAATAAGTAATTAAAAGATGATAATTAATTAATTTTATTACGAAAAATTATTTAAAAAAATAGTTATCCTTGTAAACTATATACTTTTGGCACGGAATAGAGATACTCAATATAAGGGACTATTTACTTCATTTAACTTTACGTAGCAATAATGATTCATTGTTTTATATATATATATATAGAATTGAAGCTCGTTCGAAAATTATATTCATGAAGAAACTTCTTTTTTTTTTGAGTATCAATATGTTATAATAAAGAATTTTTATAAGGTATGTGAAATATTAAAATTATTGATGACATATGTTGCAAATATACAAGCAACGAATATTTTGTGAAAATATATTAAGAATAAAAATACAAAATATGAATAGCTATTTAAATATTTTTTCATTTTCTTTTTATAAGTAAAAGCTATAAACGATAATATTTAATGGTACTATTTTACAACGTTCATGTAACGCTCAGGTATACAGTATACTTATCACAATATTTCATTCGCCATACATCCTAAATATTCTTTTTTTTATCTTGTTAGTAATTATTGATATTTTACATATTAACATACAACATTAATTAATAAATTTTTTCGAGCAATGATGTTATAACGTATCTTTCATGTTAATTATTATGCATTTATTCGCAATAAGATGATGTAACTAACATCACTTTTCGATTTGAATTTTTGTCTTTTTATCTTTTTTTTTTTTTTTTTTTTTTTTTTTTTTTTTTTTTTTTTTTTTTTTTTTTTTTTTTCAGAAAATAGAAGCCAAAAACTCTGAATATAGTGTATTCAATTACTGTTTTTTTTTAAATTCTTAATATCTAAATTTTTTTTGAAGACTACTGTCCTGTAGAGTTTAAAACTCTTGCACTTTTATACGTAATATTACTATACATAATATAGATATTAACGATTAAATAATCGTTATTACATTAATTAAAAAGACTATTTAGAGATAATTTTTAAAATATAATCAATATACTCACTATATTTTATACATGGCATAAAATATGAACGGCTGGATTAGATTGTTCGTAAAAAATTAAAAATCAACATAAAAACTTTAATTATTTGATCCACGTTTGATCATTCATTTATAAAAATTTGTTCAAATTATTGAAATATTTTCATAAAATGATAATATTTTTAAAAAGCTTCGTTTTTATTAAATATATATTATAAGATACTTTGAAAGTCAGAATACAATCATTATTATATAATATAATATAATCAGTAAAATTAATTTTAAAAATATTTTTAAATATAAATTACATATTTTTTTTATATTATTATATTATATATTATTATATTTTTAATTATATATATCTCGATTTATATAAATAAAATATGTAAAAATCCAAAAATGAAAATATATACTATTATTCACTATAAGGAAAAAAATAGATAAAATTAATATATCTAAATTATAATTATTTGGTTTGAATTAATTATACATAATTGTATAATGATTTTCATTGTACCTCGTTTTTTTCCTTTTTATAACTTGGCACAAATTTTGTCAGATTTGTATATTCTTATATATATGCAATCTTTATAATTCATTACTGATGTTTTAATAATAAAATATTACATACAGTTTATTATTACAAAGTATATAATTTTGGATCTATATGTTGCAATAAATTACTCGCTATCAAATATAAGAAAATATTTCTCTTAATACATTGAAAAAGACACAGTACATCAGTAATAAACTTTTCTCAGAAGAGATTGTCCTGCACTTTATTATTGTTTTGTTTGTTTTGGAATATGATACATTTTTTAAGTTTTCAACCATTTGTATATATCTATAATATTTAAATTAATTATAAAAGATAAATAATCAAAATGTTAATAACGTGGATGCAAACACATTAATCTAATAAAGATTCTTTTTAAGACTTCTCGATGAAACATAAAAGACATAAGTACAATTTATTAATAATTTATGATTATGAAATTTATAAATATATGCTAATATATATCTAATAAAATATGGATATATATGAAATAATTCTTGAAAGAATAGAATCTATAAAATA